GCGTGTTGGGTGGGAATATTTACAGAAATAAAATCGTCAACGAAAACAAGCACGCCAGAACTAGCTTCCCCATTTGTTACTGTTTTCCCATCTCAGACGATGGACTCCTGCAGGAGCCTCAAAGCTCAGACCAATAAAATCATGATTTCGGTGTTCGATAAAACTTATTCTTCTCAAAATAAACACGTTCCTGGAATGCAAACGTTTGCCTCAATATATCTGTGTCGCGAGTACTTCTATCAGCAGACAAAGCCGTAGGCACGTTTTGAAAGAGTTTACCTTTAAATCGCTTTCTGACACTGGTGGTCGAACATAAGTCTCCCCAATAGCCGGAACAAGAACATTATGCGTCCAATGTTTGTAATTCCTACATAAGTTTGTCATCAGTGAGGAAATCAATGATATATCGGAAAGAACAGATAACATCATCGTTATAGGATGCAGTTTCTGTTCTACTGCATCCTCAAGGATTGGTGGGCTACACTTAAAGTTCCCAGTTTAAACTTTCTCGTGGGTATTCATAGCTGTAAGGAGAATTGCCTGATCAGCCTCGTCCGAATGGTTAATTGGGTGTCCCTATCAACAATTTCAACGTGTATTGCTTAGCAACAACTCGAGATTTGTTGGTGCCTTACGTGTTGACCCCTCATTTTGGTTTAATTCTTAGATCCCATAGTCTCAAGATCCACCAGACACTGTTCCTCCACTCCGCAGAGGCGACTTCTAGCATGTTCGATGTCATCTGTCTATGCTTTTTCAGGTTATTGATGTCCGTCCAGACATGATGCCCTCAATCCACAACTTCGATCCGCAATTAACTGAAATCAATGAATGTTCACCTATCTACGAAATGGATCTAGGCCTAAAGCCATTTGAACGGCCGGTTTACCTACAACTCCCCCTACCTAACTGGTACATGGACTTGATTGATAAGATGCTCCACCCGCCCGAGTCAGAATCAAACAGCGGTCCAGATGAACTGGCTACCCATAAAGAAGGTTTGCCTCCAGCCACAGGAGCTGCGGAGGAGGGGGAGAAGGCGGAACAAAAGCCCGGGGATGAGAACGCTAACAACGTGATTCCCCTGGAAAAAAGGCCCAAAAATCTCCTTCTTCTATACCAGGTAGTATTTATAATGTTCAGTAGATTGTGAAAACTAAGGGTAGTGTCTATGGAAGTGTGAATCCTTACCTGTAAGCGTGTAGATGTACATATGTATATCGAACGTAAAACATTACTAGAATTAAGCTATTTATATTAATTTAGTAGCACGGTATAGTGAGAACATTTGCCAGCATGTATTTAGCATGTTTAGTGAGAAAAGAGAAACTTATAAGTATGACGGGCATTTTCAGAGTGCATCAGTCCACCGATCGACTACAGGCGACCGAGGACCTATCGCGTGGCGTTAAGGCTAATGAGGTTAACCCTTACGGTCGTGATCTTCCAGGCCCGGTTCCTTAGGAGAAGAGAGAAGTCATGGGAAGGCCAGATTGATAGAAACAGTATATTCTGAACAGAGGGGTTGAAGAATAGGTTGACTGTCGGAGCACATGTCTTTTTCCTAGAATGGCTTGGCTCGAAGTGAGATCTGGGCCGCAGCTACCACATTGAGGTCTGTGTTCAGACGGGTTGAGGCCAACCTACAAGTGAGGCTAGTCTACTAAATCGAACATCTCATTAGACGGATTGAGGAGGAGGCAAGGTGCGCACGTTTGCGCCTCATCCCACAGGCGTGATGAGTCAACATGCGGCGGATATTCATGTGTGGCTGATCATGGATTCCAAGGAGTGCTATCAGCCACTACAGAACAACGCCCTGGAAGCACGACTCCACAGTGGATACAGTTCGACCGTCGATTTTGACGATATCCAACAGGAGCTTTAGCAAACTAAAGGCAGACGCGATGACTCACGCGGAGTTATAGTGAAAGTAGACTCGCGCAGAATCTACCTCACTCTCGCACCCGTACCCAGTGTCAAGACAAAAGTCAAGAAGACCGGAGATAGGGAAGGGCGCAGGTGGCTGGCGCAGCTGAGGTCCCCTTATGCGCGTCACAGCAACACCCTGCTAGGCTCCGCTTACGTGGGATTGCCACGAAGGCCACATTAAGAAGGAGCCATTTTAGCCTGACTCTCAGTCCGCCAGTCAGCCACTCCACACAACAAGACACGCACTGGACTGACTGCGCAGTCCGAGTTATCCCGTCAGGTGGCAATCCTCCACGCCACGGCTCTTAGCACACCGCGATAGCAGGCAGGCACGCGCACTGACTACTCTTTAATTGAGTGGAAGCTCGTTAATAGACACAAATATTCTGTAAGTGGCTCACTCTTTTTTTTGAGATGCGCATAGATGGGGCTACTCGCCACCCGAGGCGCCACTGTAAGTGTAAGTCCTCAACTAGACGATAAGTAAGCCAGTCGGCATACTTTTAACATTCAGTAATAACATTATGGAATGCAGACTTAAATTTATTTCTGTTGAAATTTTGACCATCGATTTCAGTGGATCCCACTTCGTGCCCTAGTTCAAGGTAGCATACGGATAATGACTTGCGGGCGATTTATTTTATTGTGATAACGGAATTGCGCTACATCTACCAAATTCTCTCCTCCTCGTCCGCCCAGACCCAGTGTCATAATTAAGTAATGAAGCCTGGATGTAGGAAGGGACACAGGTGGCTGGCGCGTTCGGAACCAATCCTAAACTTGCCGCCCCTTAGCGTGCTGCCAAATATGACTCAGATCCTAGCTGCATGGGAGGGTCATAAAGGCCACATTAAGAGAATCCTTTGCGCTATGATCCTCAGGCCGTCATTTAGTCACTCTATACGAATACACACTGGACGTACTGTATCCCGTCGCTTTACGTCCCCGTCGGCAAGCAGCCCTAGCGAAATCTCCGTGGAAGTCATTTGGGTAGTCGCTCATCGTACGTCTCCGCCAGGTAGCCGCTCAATCAGGTCAGGTCAGGTCAGGTCAGGTTTTATTGAGGGAAATATAGGTAAAT